CCAACAGCCATGCCTTGGATATCAGGTTTCCATACATAGGCAGCACAATGAAAGTCAGATATGGACTTTGGGCTGGAACTAGGAAGAGATGAGATACTAAGCCACCATAGGCTTTTGGGAAAATGTAGAGGGCAGGAGGCAGCTGCTGCTGCTTTGAGAGAACTACTCAGCTTTTGAAAGTGCTCAGAGCTCAGAGGGCACAGATGGCTAGGGTATAAGGTCTGTCATTCAACCTTGTGTTGGAGACAGTAGTCTCCTGTCCATGTGAGCTGAGTTAACAAGATTGTTTTTGATGACCACATCCCACAGGGGACTTCAGCAGAGCTTTAAAGCTTCTCTGATTGTATAAATTATCACCTGGTGCCTGGTTGCCAAATCTGATTTACGTGGATTATTCTCAGGTTGGGTCCTATGAAGGGTGAAAGTGAAGAGAATGAATCTAAATTCCTCCCAATTCTCACATTCCGAGTTCTTGCTCAATAGAAGTCTCCCAAGTCAGAGGCGGGGTCCTTTAGGAACTGAGATTAATACTAAGCCTGAACTTCATGAAAAAGGTGGACTTAGGGTAAAAGTAACCCAGCCCCTCAGATCTTGGAGGCCCTGAGTCAGAAAGACAGCCTTCTGCGTGGTCCAGGTACTGAAAAGTTTGGGCAAGACAACTCATTGCCGGCAGGCACTATCAGCAGCTAACGCTGATGCGCCACTCTAACGCTCATCACAGCTCTGATCCCCTGAGCACTGACAAAACGAGCCCTGTAGACATGCTCCTGAGTCCGCTGCAGGTGCAGTGCTGGCCCAACCTCTGTCTCCATCTCTTCTTTCCTCCTCTCAGGTATAAGAGCCACTCGTGGATGTTGCCTGGCCTTTAGTCCCCAAACCATTTCTCCTATATCTGCAGCAGCTTTGAATACTGCCGGTACTTCTTTTATGAACAGAGGCACAAATCCCCAGAAACTGCATCAAATTCCCTTAAAAAGTACTTAAATGAAAGTTGGATTTTCCATGCACCAGGGTATATTCACTTTCCTGTATCTGCAGCCTGGTTGGACCAGCCAAGCATGGCTCCTCCTAATAACTTCACTGTGCAGAGTCTGTGTTTTCATCTCTGATGCTTGTTGGTTGAACTCACTGAATTTTTCTAAAGCACTGAGCTCTAGCTTTTGAGATGGTGTCTCAGAATCTCCTAGATATTCCTCTCTGACCCTCAAGTATTCAATTATTGGATCATAGTCACTGCTGAAGGTGTTTCTATTTAGAAACATCTTGGAATACTTTCGGGAAAATTTTTCTCATATTTATCCAAAAACCTTCACCTTCCTTTAGGCACAGTTCTTGATTCTTCCCTAGGAACAACATTTGGTACCGTTGATTACTCACTTATTCTTGAAACACTCTCTTCTCTTGGCTCTATCCTCTCCCAGTTTTTCTTCCTACCTGTCTGAATATTCCCTCTGTTTCCTGTGCAGATTTATCTTTCTCTACCCACTCACTAAATACTATAGGCCTTTATGCCTCTACTGTAAGTCTGATTCTCCTTTTACTCTATTCTCTCTCTGGATGATTTCATCAATTTCCACGCTTCAAATACCATCTGTGTGCCCTACTCACACATTTTTACCTCCAGCTCAGACCTCTTTTCTGAGTTCTAAACCAATAATTTTAGCTGGCTACATTTTTAGAGTATCTCTCAAACTCAAGTTGCCCTAAACACATACATAGTTTCCCTCTAAAGATATTCTTCTCCCATTGTTTCAGGGACCTATAGCACTAAATAGCACTAACCTCCACCTTGCCATATAAATCAAAGGCTTGTGGTCACCCTTGACAGTTCTTTCTCCTTTAGTCTCCATGTCTCATCAACTAATATATATATATAGGGGGAGTAATTATCTCTTTATTAGTTTTTTGATTTTTCACTGCCATCACTTGAGTCTAAGCAATTTTGTCATCTCCTACTTGGATGCCTGCAATGGTTTCAGAACTGATCTCTCCAACCTTCTTTGGTTCTACATTGAAGTTGGAATGATCTGTCCGAATTACAAATCTGAACATAGCATTGCCCCATGAACAACACTTCAGTGGCTCTATGTTTCTTGGGCTCGAGAACAAACCTCCTCGCTGTGACCCGTAGTGCCCGGCGTGGACTGGTTCCTGCTCCATCTCCAGTTTCATTTACCCTGATCTCCTTGCTTTCTCATTCTCGTCATATCCCTTTCCTTTCATACCTTGGATGCCCCATCTTGCAGCCTTAACAAGGCTATTTTCTCTGCTGTTCCCGTAGATTCCTCTTATTCTTCCTTTGCCTCCTTATAGCCTTGGAGCTCACCCTTTTGGCCACTTCTTCCCACAAGTGAATCATTTCCCAACTATGCACTTTCCGAGAATCTTGAGCCTCTCTGTCCAAACCCTAATGATGTTCAGAGTTTGGGTTCTTGGTTTATTATTGCACCCCCCTAACCCCAACTACCACTAAGTAGATAATAGGAACTGTACTTATATTGCTTACTGCTGTATCACCAAAGGCCTGACATACAGTGGGTATGTATTTACTAAAGTTTGAGTCTCATTAGACTAAACTAATAACAGCTTACAATTACAGCTTACAGTAAGAATATCCTCTCCAAGGGCGCTTTGCCTTTGTATACCCAGTCTCTAGGACCTCACAGCAGGAACTAAGTAAAGTTCAGCTATGCCAATGAGTAAATTCTTCAGACCAAACTTTTCCTCCAAATCCAAATAAAAAGTCTGTCAATATTTACAGAATTGTTATTTGAGGCACTCTGCTTCCTTTGTACTTGGTACATCATGGACTAGCCATATCCTGGAAATTCTGTCTCCCATCTGGGAGACGTGAGCCACCTAGAAGCCACGCAGAACTAACTTCCTCTCTGGAATGTCATAATGATTCTGCTAAAGAGGAGGTTGACTGACTTCCCCAAGAAGTTACTAGGCTGTAGACTCACAGAACCTTCTCAGCCAGCCCTAGGATTAATGATTTGGTCTTGATTTTAACTGGTGAAGGGAAAGAACGAAGTCCTTCATACATAAGTGATTCTAGGAAAAGGATCTCTGACCCTATGGGCAGCATAGTCTGGCACACAGCACATAGGGCATTGAGTAGCAAAATAAAAAAATGATGAATGAATAATAAAAGAAATAATTCTGGTCTATACACCTTTATCTCATTTCATAATCAGGGAATTTATTAACAATTGTGAGGTGGGAACCCCATGCGAGACACTGGCATTTTAGAGATGAAATAGCATGCAATCCCTGTTCTTAAAGACTCACTCTTCTCACTAGACAAACTTAGCTAAGTAAATTCAACTTATTCATATTACAGAAGTTTGTGATGTCCTCTGAGGAAGAAAATGCTGCACTATTAAGCAAAAAGAAAGAGGTACAATATTGCACTGGAAAGCTATTCTCAAATATCAGTGAGTTTGGGGAACCAGAACCAAAGCTTATGAATATTAGTACCCTTAATCATGAGACTCTGCTGAGTTCTGTGACTACATGACTGCAAAAAGGAGAAACCCAATTTGGATCCATGAGAACAAATGTGCATGGGCAGAGACATCATCCCTTTAGCTAAACACTGAACAAACACAAACATTTAGGGAGCCTCTATTATGAGTCAGGCTCTGTGCTAACATGGAAAAACAAAGATAAACGAGGCTTAATCTTACCTCTGAGGAGTTTGTAGACCAGTGGAGGAGACAATGAGGAAACAGACAGCTGATAACATTGGTATATTGTGGTAAGAGATACTGTGAGGTATGTACAAAGTGATATCAGAATTTAGGGGGGAGAAGGGGGTAGAAAGAGAAAGAGAGAGAGGGAGAGGTATGGGAGGGGGAGAGAGAGAGAGAGAGAGAGAGAGAGAGAGAGAGAGAGAGAGAGATTCCTAGAGGCACAGGCAGACACAGATGTATGGGTATGGTAACCCCCGAATCACTCTCCACAATGTCTGAGATGGGAAGGTATCCTTGATCCCTAGTGCACAGAACCAAGAGGCTGGGCTTTGGCTTTTGTTATTGTTGTTGCTTAACTTGTGCTATGGTTTGAGCAAAATAGATGTTTTAGGAAAGCGATGCTGAGGAATTAGGGACTTGCAAGTTGAATTCACGGATTCTGGCTATTGAAGACTAAACTTGGAGTCAGCAAACCTGAAAACTTCTGGCTCTAACTTTATCAATCACGTCACTTCTAGCAAGCCTCTTGGTGTTTTCATCTATAAAATGAGAAAATCGATATCTACCTTTGGGAATTTTTGTGAAGATTGACAAGTTAAGTCTGTGAGTCACCCAGCACAAGGGTAAAGATACAGTGAGTGAACAGTTTCCTACCTTTCGCTAATGGGGATTAAGTCAACAAGTTAGCACCTGTAGACCACCTAATATTAACATTAGCATAAACCTCAAAACTGAAGTTAATCAGATATATTTTTCTGAACCCAATGCAATTCCCTTTAATGTACTAAATTTTTACGCTATCAATTGTTTCTTATAAAGAAAGAAACTTTACCTTTTTATCTTCAAAAATCTAGTGATCATAATTGTGTTGCTTTGACTTAAAGTTGTGATTTTCACCATTTATCCAAAAGAATAAAATAGGGTTAGGAATAATTCCATGAACCCAAGAACTGAATGGTGGTTCCAAGGTTAGATGCTAGAGACAAAACAGCAGCATGAGGAATAAAATCTTCCACTCGCTCTCACCAGAAGAGGAAGATGCTCCAGCATGGAAGTTACAGAACGTTGGGAAAATCAATTTCTCTTCATGTCAGTTTCTTCATCTAAAAAAGGATCTAATAATGATCCCTCTTTCAGGAGGAATTAATTCTTAAAAGGGATCAAATGGGGCAATGGGTACAAAGCTCTTACCACAGTGCCTGGCACTCAGTTCACACCCACTAAATGGAAGCTATTGTCATTACTATTCTACTCTGATCACATGTGTGAGTCTTTGCAACATCTTCCTTCTCTTTTCTCCTCGAGGTGCCTCCTCACAGAACTCTAACACCGTGGAACCAGAGAAGCAGGTGGACAACACTGTGAAGATGGCTGGCGTGATCGCTGGCCTCCTCATGTTCATCATCATTCTACTGGGTGTGATGCTCACTATCAAAAGGAGGTGAGTCTCTGACTTTGCCCTGAAGATTCCACTGACCCCAGTTTGACCACCCTGCATGACTGTCGTGCAGCTAGGTCATTGTTCTGTTGATCACTGTCCCAGAAAATTCATCTGATATTATGGTTGAGGTCCTGAGATACTTCCGCCAACTGTGGCTCCTTGTGTTATTGTTTGAAGGGTGTGTACTCTCTGCTTGGCAAGTGACCCGTAGAAAAATAGTTTCTCATGGGGCCAGTGATTCCAATAGCTGGGGCACGATGATGTGCCGTGGGATTCTGTGGATTACGAAATGAGTCTTCTTGGAGTTGACTGTTCTGTTGTGATGGGTCACATCATCAAGACTGCTGGAAGCCCCCAAAACAAAGATGAGCACAGAAACAGTCTCAGAAAGACAATGCTTCCTCTCTCACACCTCCATTCACGTTTGACGTCCACTGATCAAATGGCAGCCTCCCAAGCTGCCCTCAAAGCCTCTAATGGGGTAAGAGACCCAAAGACTCTCCTATTCCAGGCTTCTTCATATTCTGTGTCCAGCAAAACCTTTTCCAGATGCTTGTTGCTGCTTTTCACCTCTCAGCAGGATGTTTCTCCAGAAACCTCTAGCCAGTTAACACAGTTTTCTCACATCGCGTGTTTCCTGAAAATCATGTTGCTCGTGAAGCACATTCTTCCCTTATTCCCAAGATTGTGTCCATAGGCTCAAGACTAACCATAGGGAATTACAGAGAGGAAAGGAAATATAAAAATAAGTGCCAGCTAGAACTGTCCTTCGGGTTCACTGGGTAACCAAGGCGTCCTCCTTACCACCCGTCCTTAGCCTCTCCCTGGCCTCACATTCTCGCCCTTCCTCTCCAGCTCCTTGTCTTCCAGATTTCATCCTGGGCCTCTAATCTGAGTCTCCACCTTCCCTCTCACTGGGGTGTCAGAACCAACAAAGCATTCATCCACATTATAATCAAGTGTCTTCAAGGTGCTCTGTCCCGGTGAAGACAAACTTACACATCGTTAACTAAACTAACATCTCAGGCTGAAGTGCAGGGCTGAGTTATACAGAGCTAGGACAAACCCAAGAACAAGACCAAGGGGCTTCCTTTCATCTGTGAGATAAAAGACAATTATAAAACTTGTTGCTCACTGAAACAGAGGAGCAGAATGAGTCAAAGACTAATCTCTGCTTCTACCTTAGGAGCCACATTAATGTGAATACAGAAAAAAAATTTAAAAGCAATTTTCCCATTTCTAGCCCTGTATTTAGGAATTCGCAGGGGCTGGGGATTTAGCTCAGTGGTCCCGCCACCTGCCTCAAAAGCACAAGGTCCCGAGTTCGATCTCTAGCACCAAAAAAACCCCACAGGAATTTCCACCATATATTGCAATTGAGATTCTCTCGGTCATGTAGCCACTAGAATGTCCCTGTGTGTCTCTCTCATGGTTCTACTTTGAATAAGCCAATAAGCCAAACCTTCCTCTGGCCAAGATATATTATTGGTAGGATCTTCCCCTTTCTTGACATCTTTTTTCCTATTATGATCAATTCTTTCCTCAAATGACTAGAAGAATGGTTTATAAGTTAAGGTTTTTAATCAGTTACTGAGAGAGAGAGAGAGAAGGAGGAAGAGACTATACTGTGACAGCTCTACATATAGGGAGCCTCTGAAGGGCTATAGAGAGCACCGCATAATTGTCTGATCATCATCATCCTCATCCTCATCATCATCACCACTAATAAAACACTTCTAATTTGTATGCCCCAGGGACTGGACAGCTGCTATTATATGAGGTAGAACATGAGCTTTGATTTTTCGGAGGGCAATAAACACATTGTGCATATAAGATCATTGACATGTTTCTTAGAGTCACAGATATAGTAGAGCCCAAGGTGAGTTGGGAATTGTTTCCTTGGAAAAAGTGACCAATTTACTAGAATTGAATATCTCTTTGATAGACCTGTGATTTTCTCATCCTTTGCCACTGATTTGTAAGTCATATATACTCTTCCAATTTTGCTCTTTCTAAAGCCTGGCTTAACTCACGTCACCGTTGTCTGTGAGCTTGTGAAGAAATTTCACTTCCTTCTCAACAGCTATTTCTGAAATGTGTGACATTCTGGAAGAGAGGAAAGAGCTTTCTGTTTATAGGGTGGGAGCAAGTATAAAGTGAATCTTTCATGTAGTTGTAGCCTCTCTTGTCTTTTAACATCATCTCTCATGTCTATAAAACGCTTCATCAGATTCAACCAACAGGTGATCCATGATCACTATTACTTAATCAGGCAAAACTCAGGGGCTGTTATGTTGCGACAGTGTCACAGTGAGGACGGGGTGCTAGTCAGTATTCACACATAGTGTTTCGTTGTTATAAATGGGACATTCTGGTGACCTAGTTGACCAATTTACATACGGGTGTGGGGAGGGGAAACCTGAAGTAGGAAAGAGGAAAAGAGAGGAGGAGAGGGGATAGGATGGAAAGGGAGGGGAAGCAAAAGAAATTAAACATAAATAGGCAGTATTTCTACTGACCTGAACTGTCTTCCTCTGTCTAGAAATTCCTCCGAAGACAGTGGTGGGTGTGGTGACCCTCACTTCCTTGTGCCTCTTCCAACCTCAGCCCATATGTAAATATGGGAACCACTGGTCAGTCGAGTCTGTAATTAACATACTGCTGGCCACATTGCTATCCATAGTTACCTAGAAGGAAGAGAAACTAAAGGCAAAGAAACTTCCCCAACACAGTTTCTGGATCCTAGAGCTCTCTGAAGTCAAACATCAGCTACCATCTCCATTATCTTAAGCTTGCTCAGTCTTCTCCCGACCCTCCATGGGCAGTGGCTGTCTATTTCTTCTGATCCTAATGGATCAGATGACTCAAAGTGTTTCTAAATCTACAGTCACAGATGTTTCCAGTAAATATAGATGTCCCTAGCTTCTTTCTCTCAAGGCTTTGCCATCACTATCCCTAAGTCTCCCTTGCCATTCTCCAAAGAGTCTTTCTTTTCCTGTTCATGGTTTCATTTTGTGACACAAAACTAAAAAACAGACAGAAAATGGCCTTGAGGTCCAAAGGATGAAGGGAAGGGCATAATGGAAGAAACTAAATAAATTTACATTTAGTTAACTGGAAAAAAAAGAAAGGAGAGAAGAAAGGGAAGAAAACAACCAACAAAGTCTGAGGGATGTTTTATTTTTGCTTGGATTTGTTTTATAATGGGAAAAGGATCTTGAGAGGTAAAAACCAAAAAGGGATATGAGATGTTTGTGGGTGCTATAATGAAGGTTCCTTACTGTTTGCAAAGGACACAAGTTAAAGTTTAAAATCCCTTTTGTGTTACCCTTGGCTCTTTGGATTGGGCTTCTTTGAATGTGGAATAATACATAACCAGGACAACTTAGAGTTAGGTAAGCATTATAAGAAAGGAACCTGGAGCCCCTCCCTCATAGTTAATTACCTACCAGTATGGTTTTAGCCAAATACACTTCAAAATATCTAATCATATACTGTCACTAGTCAATGGCCCTATATTTTTCTCCTGGATCTACTGATCAAATTTAGACCTCAAAATGTTCTAAAATGAGTACCATGCCATGATATAGGAACACAAGCCTCCCTTTTGTGGGGACCATAATGAGTCTTGGCATGGAGAGAGACCCTCATCATCACTCGGCTCTTCAATCCTGAATGCACTTCATCCCTTCCCTCCTCTACTTGGAATAGTGAGATAGCCGCCCACAACAGAGAAACAGCCAGTCAAGGGGTATTGAGGTCTTCTATATGCTTCCTTGGCTTAATATCACAGGACACTCAGTGCTTTGAATGCAGGGTAGAAAACTTAAGTTTTAGTGCCTTAACCAGTATATCTTGATCATTAAAGTAGTTTATTAGCCACTCATATATGAGAAGTTCTACACTTTGATGTCTGTTTGTGGGGTGTGAAATTATATGCATATGCCTCCAAGTTTCATATAGTTCAATTTCATGCTTTCAGATACATTTCCTGGAGTCTGAGCATGGTCCTCAAAGCTTAAGGCATAACCGTGCACTATTGTATAGCAAAATTTAAGAAAGATTCTTTGGCAGATCTGTAACCCAGGACTTAACAGTATCTAATATTGATCTCTGCATCCCTTAGTAGTTTTCAAATAAGAATTAGATAACTTTTAGAGAGACATTCTAAAGTCAATTTTAGGCTAGCCACCTTGTCTCTCTTTCTCACCTCACCTGCTCAGCTCCTGGTCCAGACTGAGCTTTCCGCCTTGCCCATCTAAATAGTAACTTCTCTAAGAGTGTATATGGAGTGCATTTAATTTAAAATATGAGAGTTTATTCCAAGACACATATGCATCACTGAATGTACATTGATTCTCTGGATGCAAACACCTTGTAATTATGGACTGGGAATCCAAAAACCTGAATTCAAATTTCAACAGTACTTTTGATTTGCTAACAACCTTGGAGAAGCACCTTAACAAATCTCTGTACACAAAATGAGCTAATGATCAGGATAGGTTTTTTTCTTGTACTTGCCTAAGGAATTAAAATGCACAATGTCAACAGGGCCATTCATCTCACACATGACCATCACCTATACCAAGTAAGCTCCAAGCTCATCACTAATATGCTAAGAGCAGTGCTGGAATCAGTACTCGCACACTGACCTAATTTGTTCATTTTCCATTTAAACTGCTGCTCTCTTGTAATTTTAGTTCCCTCATAATCATAGTTAGGTTTATCTATTGGTACTCTGTGCTCTTAAGAAGAGGAAACTGAAGTTCAGAAGGGTTAAATGGGTTGGCCAAGATCTTGGGCAGAGTTGAGATGCAAAATCAATTTCTGTAACTCCAGAGAACATGTTTCTAATTTCTACCCTATCAGTACAGGAAGACTATCAGAAACTAGGCAAAAAATAGACCAGGAAACAACAGGCTCAGGTTTAGATACTGTTTTTCATTCCTGGGCTTATTTCCCCTAATTTCACTATACCCCGTCTTTGAATGTGTGTTTGC